TCCCTCTGGATGGCAGTGCAGCCCTCTGGGGTATCAGCTACTCCTCCCCGTTTGGTATCATCAGCAAACTTGCTGAGGGAGCACTCTGTGCCTTCATCCAGGTCATTGATGAATAAATTGAACAGGACTGGACCAAGGACTGACCCCTGGGGGACCCCACTAGCCACAGGCCTCCAACTAGACTCTGCACCGCTGATCACCACTCTCTGGGCCCTGCCATCCGGCCAGTTCCTAATCCATCTCACTGTGCACTCATCTATCCCACACTTCCGGAGCTTGCCCAGGAGGATGTTGTGAGGGACGGTGTCAAAAGCCTTGGTGAAGTCGAGATAGACGACATCCACCACTCTCCCCTTGTCTATCCAGCCGGTCGTTTCATCATAGAAGGCTATCAGGTTAGTCAGGCAAGATTTTCCCTTGGTGAATCCATGCTGACTACTCTTGAGCACCTTCTTGTCCTCCATGTGCCTGGAGACAACGGCCAGTATGAGGCGTTCCATCACTTTTCCGGGGACGGAGGTGAGGCTGACTGGTCTGTAGTTGCCTGGGTCCTCCTTCTTGCCTTTTTTGAAGACTGGCGTGACATTGGCCTTCTTCCAGTCTTCCGGCACCTCCCCCGTTCTCCAGGATCTTTCAAAGATGATGGAGAGCGGCTTAGCTATGGCATCTGCCAGCTCACGCAGCACTCTGGGGTGCATCCCATCAGGGCCCATGGATTTGTGGGTATCGAGGTTCCTTAGGTGCTCTCTGACCCAATCTTCCTCTACCCAGGGCAAGTCTTCCTCTCCACCAGCTTCTTCTCTTGCCTCTAGGGCCTGGGGCTCTAAAGGGCTGCCCTTGGTAAACACCGAAGCAAAGAAGGCATTGAGCAACTCTGCTTTTTCTGTGTTATTTGTAACCAAGGTGACCATCCCGTCCTCCAGCGGACCCACGTTCTCCCTGATCTTCCTTTTGCTGTTAATGTATTTGAAGAATTTTTTTTTGTTATTTTTAACGTCCCTTGCCAGCTTGCCTTCCAGACGTGCCTTAGCTTTCCTTGTCGCATCTCTGCACTCCCTGATTCCTGTATTTCTCCCAGGGGACCTGTCCTTTTTTCCACATTCTGTATACCGCTGCCTTCTGCTTGAGCATTGCCACAAGCTCCCGGCTCATCCACGCAGGTCGCCTGCCCCCTCTGCCTGACTTCTTACACACAGGGATGCACTGTTGCTGGGCGTGGAGGAAGTGCTGCTTGAGCACTAACAATAGGCAGGACAAATACAGAAGAGAATAATGGCAGATAAATATGACATTTTGGTTAAGTAAATTTTTTTTTCTTTCCTGTATATAATATAGAAGTGACCACTAATTGTGTTCCCCACAGCTGTTCAGGACAGGTGCAAAGTTTACAGACTGCTAGTAATTAACTTTATTTCAAAGCCTAAAAGGGCGTCTTGTGTTCGTATTAACTTTTATCCAAAAGCCTGTTTTCTTTTCTCAATCTTTGTATAGTCTGATCTACTGGACAGGGTTAAAAACAGTCTTCAGGAGAAGTGTCTGGCTTTCAACCTTGATAACTCCTTTTATCTCAGCAGTTCCCTCGGAAACTTGCTCTGCTCACAGGCACGAATGACAACCACGGCAGGATTGCCCTTGGATTTCCTGGTTGCCCCCTTCCAAAGGAGAAGGGCAGAGGGGATTTAAGTTAAAAGAGAAGGGGGTACTACCTGCCTTTGGGTTACTGCATAAGTCTTTCTGGCAATTTCTTTCTGAAACGTTTGCCCTAAGCTGGTATTAAACTAGCAAAAGGAGGCTCCTGAGTCTTTGAGGTTGTCAAAACTTCCAGTGGGGAGTAGAGAAACCATTTCTACAGCTTTACAACTGGTAAGTACTCTCCTGTATTTGCAGAACAACCTGATCTGCTTTTACAAAATCTCCCTAGTCTGATCAGAGCATAAAAACCAGCATCTAGGCAAGGATAAACAGGCATTCTTCTCTGCATATTAATGATTTTAGTTTAGACTTGTTTTCAAAGGCTTGCTTTACACCTGAGATTCTCAGGAACAAATTACTAAGGCACTAATTTACAGTACCTGCAAATTACTGTTCATTTTGTGATATTATCATCTCTCTCCATGATGAGCCACCTGAATAATTCAGCAACAAAGGACTCATCTTGCTGACGTGATGAAAATGGATATATGTTTTGTTCAGGAATTGCTTCGTATTTCAGGTTGCTTGTGTGAAGTGCTGCTTTTCTGTAAGGCCAATTTGCGCTGCTGCAGTTGTGAAATTTTAGAAGCGTCTGATTGCTTTGGTGTATCATCTGGTTGCCTGTACTAGTAATTCTAGGTATTTGAATGGGAAAGAAGGTTAGAGAGAAATAGTGAAGCCAGAAGCAGAGAATTCTCTAATAATTAATTTCACATGTGCAGTGGCAAAATAAGAGGAATATGTCAGAAATACCACTTTTGTTTCCTGTCATTTGCTATGCTTGTGCTACTCTCTTCAGTCAGGTGAGAATTTTATATAGGTCAGCTGGTGTGTTATCTGGTGATGCAAAGGGAATATTTCTAGGGAAATGTTTCCACATTCCCATTATGGTTTCAGGCACTTAAAAGAAATGCTATATTGCAGTGAGGAGGAAGGTGCTGGCCTCTTTTCGCTGGTGGCCACCAGCAGAACTAGAGGAAACGGCTGGAAACTGAAGCATCAAAAGTTCCACAGGAATTTTTTTTTTTTAATGTCCACAGACATCAACTCTAGCTCTGCATGTTAGATCCAACTTTATGTTGAATAGGAGCTGACCTAAACAGATACTTTGCTTACAGGATTCCATGTAGGTAGCTTTGAAAAGTGGAATATATGAAATACTTATAATAGCTGCAGAATGAAAATGTTCTGTCTTTTTTTTCCCCACACTTTTGCAGAAATTACTTTGTCATTTTTCCCCCCTGTTTAATTCCATTCTAAGTCAAACTGCTCTGTGAGTGACTTGCTTAAGATAGATTTGTGCTGCACTATCTAATGCTGTGAATCGATTCCTGATACCACGTGCAGTACTTCACTTCCTGCTTCTGTGCTGAGCAGGAGCTAGGGCACACACTGATAGACAAGATCTGGCTCTAAAAACATCTTACTTTTAGTGTATAAATAGGCAGAAGATGGGATCAAGTGATAGAAGTGGAGGAGAATGCATTTTAGCGTGGCTAATTCTGGCAACTTGTCATCCTAACCAGTCTATGTTGCTTTGGAGATAGTGGGGATGTGTTTGTGTGTGCACATATGACCCCAGCTCTCACTCTGAGATTTATGGTTATTCACAAATGGAAAAA